ATGTGAGTACAGGTACAGTAGGCAGTTAGGAAAATGCACAAGACACATTTGGTTCAGTTTTACGACATTGACTTCCATTGCATCCAAATATCCTAGTATTTATATCCTAATCACACATCAAAATGAAAAAAGATTAAAAAATATCATTAATGTTGAGCCTTCAAGTGACGAAATTCCAAAACTTCAACAGTTGACCTTAGTGGGATTTTTGTTACCCCATTCTGGTGTCTTTTGTCCTTTCAGTTTAGCTGTATCACACTCACATCCTGTCACACTAAGGTAGATTAAATTACACAAACAGATTAGATAATAAAAAACCCCAAAAAGCAACAGGATGAAAAATTACTGAGGGAAATGAATTTATATAAACATTAACTTTTGAAGCTTACTGACTTTCACAGATAGATAAGTGCTGCCAAACAAGTTCAGGAAGGTTAACTTTCCATAATAACACAAAATAAAGGAAGTTGGACAGAGCTGCAGTTCATTGCATTTAAAATCAGGGTATCACTAATCACTACATATTTAACTTCTAGAAACTTTAATTTGAAAAATCCATAACACATGTTATCATCTAAATGTCCATATACATCTTGACACATAAGAAAAAAAAAATTAATATATGTAGACATGTGAAAATACCTATTCAAAAACTTTCCACAAAGTGATGCCAGGTCATTATGTAGTCCTGAACACTGTACAGGATGAAGTCCTGGAGAAGGTATTTACATAAACCTGGGCTGGAAACTTTTGAAGTAGAGTACTTCTGGTCAATTTCTAAGTCCCTTTCAATGTCTGGAAACTCCAAGACGGAATGCAGAAATACTAGTTTGTGTATACGAGCAAAGTGGGCTGTTTCCCATATTTGACTAATGTAAGAAAGGCTGAATGGATTTTGCTTAGGTTTTTCAATAAAAAAAACAAACCCTGCTCCCTCCCAAATCTGTTACAAGAGGTTTTCAAGCTAATAGACTTTCCTACTTCCATGGGATTTTCAAAGACAATTTTTTTGTCATAAGCTATTTTCCCAATGATAGGTAGATCTGGGAAGGTACTTCAGTTTGTCTTTATTATGAATATAAATACAATTTGTATAACAGTATAACCAAAAACCTTTTGAGTTCTGCGGTGGGTTGACCCTGGCAGGATGCCAGGTATCTACCAAGCCACTCTATCACTCCCATCCACAACTGGGCAGGGGAGACAAAATATAATGAAAGGTTCATGAGTTAAGGACAGGGAGAGATCACTCACTGAATACTATAATGGAAAAAAGAGACTCAACTTCTGGAAATTAATTTCATTTATTATCAAGAAAATTGGAGCAAGATAATGAGAAGTAAAATAAATCCTAAAATCACATTCTCCCTACCTCTCCCTCCTTCCTGGGCTCTGCCTCCTTCCCCACATCAGCACAGGGAGACATGGAATGGGCTGCTGCTCAGGGAGAGGAGTCCTTCCCAATGTGAGTCACTTTTCCGAGGGGTGCAGCCTTTCAGGCACAGCCTGCTCCAATGTGAGACCCCGCAGGGTCACAGGTCTTACCAGGAAACCTCTTCCAGCATGGGCTTCTCTCTCCATAGGTCTTCATGTCCCTGCCAGAAGCCTGCTCCAGCATGAGCTTCCCATGGGCTCACAGCTCTCTCTCGGGCATCCACCTGCTCTGGGTGGGTCTCCTTCACAGCCTGCAGGTGGATATCTGCTCTCCCACTGACTTCTCACAGCTGCCTCACCACGGTCTTCACCATGGGTTGCAGGGGAATCTCTGCTCCAGCATCTGGAGCACCTCCTCTCCCTCCTTCTCCACTGACCTTGGTGTCTGCATAGTTGTTCCTCTCACATATTCTCACTTTGCTCTTCTCTGGCTGCAATTCCATCTGCCCAATAACTTTTTTTCCTTCTTAAATATGCTATCGCAGAGGTGTTACCACAATTTCTGATTGGCCTAGCCTTGGCTAGTGGCACGTCCATCTTGGAGCCAGCTGGCATTGCCTCTGCCAGATATGGGGGAAACTTCTGGCAGCTTCTGACAGAAGCCACTCGTGTAGCCCTGCCACTACCAAAACCTGGCCACACAAACTCAATACAAATTCACATATCACTGTGTTTATGTATCAATTAAGCACAGAAGATATCCTGCTCTAAAGATGAAATAGTCTTAAGGGAAAACAAAACAAAAGCAAACCTATGCAAGCAAAAGTTGATTAGGAAATAAAGTATAACTCAACAGAGACCTAGCATACTGATGGACTCCAGAAGCATTCCTATTGAAATCACTAGGAGTTTTGGCTGCAGAGCCACTGACAAACACTGCAAGCTGAGGTCTGCAGTGTCTGTGCTTCAAGGTTCTCCTTCAACCTTAGATTCCAGTTTTATTAATTTTGTTTTGTTTCATTCTGTTAGCAATTTTTGAGAACCTCATTTATTGACTTTTTTCTGTAGTCCATAGTACTGGTATACTTAACTGTTTACTCAGACACTAAACAAAAAGTCACAAAGCAACAGTAAATTTGTGATACCCTGTACTGCCATTTATACCAAGCCATTTCTCATCAGAGGACTGCATTTCAAAGATTTTTTCCTTAAGTTCTACAGTTAACCAACTGCTTGCACTTAGTTGCCTGCCTGCTTTTTCCAGCTACATAACTGTTGGCTGAATGCTAGGTTTTATCCTCTAACAGGAGAAAGGCACGTGTTCCTTAAAAGGAAATCCCACGCTGCTGCTCAGTTGTGACTCAACTAACTTGGCAAGATCAGATCCACACCAACCTTGCTGAGCCACATGGATGAGAGTGTTCAAAGTGCTGGAACATTTAATAGAGCCACAAGCAGCATGGAGATCAGTGCAAGCCTTGCTGTTCACATAACGCAATCAGCTTTATTAAACAGTAAATTAAAAAATCACTTAATCTTTAATTGCAGTAAACCTATCAGAAACTACTGAAACCCACAAAACCAGAACATTTCAATTTGAAAGGTACAGATGAAAATGTTACACGCTACACATAGTTGACCTGTGCATATGCTACCAACACAGAAAGTAGTGCTGTAAGAAATATGGCACACACATCCCTTGTACAAACCAAGAATCTGCCAGGCAGAGCACTATTACTGATCACTGTAGGCTACAAAGCAGGCTTCTTCTCTGTCTTCTTGTGTCACTTGGAGAGAATTCCAGAGAGCTGTTGGAAAATGGCAGCTTACCCAGCCCTTGGAAAATGCTATGGAAAGGAAATAGGGCAGTTATGGACACAGAGCAGGTGGGAGCCTTACCTGATTCCATTCCTCTGTAGTTTATAGAAGTTGTTGTCCTGCTTTAGTCACTGTACTCTCTCATTGCTTTTCAGTTGCTCAGCAATTGAACTGATGCCTGTTCTTGCAGGTTTTTTAACATGTTTATTTGGGGATATTTTTCTATTATTTTTCCCTGTGGGATTCTTGTATGATGCAGCATTTTGTACCTGATCAAGAACACAGCAGGCCGTTAGAGAAAAAATGGAGAAAGAAGTGCATCTTCCACCAGGAGCAGCAATCAGAGTAGAATTTAGTGCCTGGAGAAGTACTTTTTGTGTTCTTAGGTAAATGCTCCAAAAGCAGACTTAGAAGAAATGCATTACAGCAGGTATTTTTAGGTACTTTCTACCGTCTCTCAGAGGAACAGTAATTAAGTGGGTGTCTACAATGGGAAAAACTTTTGCTTACTGTTGGGGCCTTCAAAGCCAAGGGATGGTACTTTTTTTTAGTTTGTTTTCCTGAAGTGGATGAAATAGAAGTGTGTCCTTTCTGGAAATGAATCATGTGCAAACCTGTGTTTACAGGTGCTTGTTCTTCTGTTCTCCTCCAGGAAAGAGGTAATCACTCACACGATTTCAGGAAACAGGTTTCAGACAACGACTGTAAAAAATGAAAAAGTTTCCTTCAGGAGTTTTCTTTCTGCCATATATTTAAAGGAGAAGCATGGTTGTTAAAACAAAATATGTTTTTCTCCAAGGCTAAGCCTATACAAAAAAAGGGAGAAAAAACATTACAACATATGTACTTATCATTAAACAATAAGAATTTTACATCCTACTCCAAAAGTAGAAGGAAAAGTGAAATACATGCAGCCTGATGTCATAGATCTGATTTAAATAAGTAATTCCTTAGTGTTGTAATTCATGAAGGCTTTGCAAATAATCCCCCCTCCTGAACAGAGAATATGCTTTGATTTTAGTTTCAGCTGAAAATGATAAATCTAAATCCAACTATGATATTTTTGAAGGAGCTACTACAGAACTATTTCTGTAATTTTTAGCTTTTTGAATATGAAAATGAAACAAAACCTATTTCCTGGCATGCACGCTAATCTCAGAATTTGGAACACAGAATTAATCAAGAAAGTAAAACTAAGCCTTTTGCACAGATGGCCAGTTTTGTAACTTTCTTTGAAAAGCAAACAAAATCTTCTTTAGTTGTTACAAGACCTGTGGAAATCATGTATATAATTGGTGATATTTTTGTCTGTTACTTGGGGATATGTTTACTAAGTTCAGTGTTTAACATTCCTTAATTTTTGATTCCGTAGTTATGCCTGTGTTATTATACTGTACACATGGGTATATTCACAGTGTGTGAATATGCAAAATGAAATATGTGAACAGTATGCAGATAAATGATGCTTCAACCCCCTGTCACAGGCTGACACTTCTACCCAAGCATAGTAACATGCAAATGTATGGACACTGTATATGATCATTTAGCAAACTAAAAGGAAAGGGGGATGCTTAAATGGTAGTAAGATGCAAATCTGAGATGCTCAGTTTGGGTGCAGATGCCTTTTAAAGGACTTGTTAAAAATCAACGTAATAGCAAGGAACACTGTTGAAAGTAATGAACAACCCTGAACAGACTAGGGAAAAAGGATATTTCATATGACAATAGTGTTTCTTGCAATGCTATAATAAAATATATTTAATTATAATAGAAGCAAAAACACCAGGTATCACTAGATAATCTGTAATGTTTGGAGTCCTAACACAGATTGGACTTCTACAATCCCATCAAGTGATGGTGTGCTTTATCAATTCAGAGGCTGGGAAGTTTTGCAGAGCCAACTACACCTGACCCTGACAAACTGCTGAAATTTAATAATATAAGGATTTGCCATCTAATTCGGTAGAATTCTTTGCATTTACAGGGTTCTGTCCACAGCCATCTTGATGAGCAGAGTCTTAAGATATGAAGTGAGCACAACCAACGTAGCACACTCCTCTCCTAGTCTTTTTGGTCTGGATACCAGTGGCATATTAGGTAATTATATTTGGGAGGCATGAGAGTATTTTTATTTTGCAGTTTGTTTCCTTTCCCTGCTTGGAAGAAGTGTCAGTGTCACTGCAGCATGTTTGTGTGAGTCTCCCACATTGCAACCTGGAAAGATACATTAAAAATGGAAAGCAAAGTAGTAGAGGATGTGATACCACAGAAACTTTCTGTGAGATGAAGGACTAGATATTACAGAAGAAAACATGCTGTAATTGACTTTATTTCAAAATCACCAGGTATCCTTTGAACTGCATATTCAAGAAAAACAAATATATAAAGCAATGTACCCACTGAGCTAATTTCTAGTTCTGAAATGGCCTATATTTTGTTTCCTGTGAGATAATGCTATAGGACATGGGCGTACTCTTTTCTTCTGCACAGAGTAAAAAACCATGCATGACATTAGAGAAATGAAAGTGACAAGATTGTCCTTAAATAATTATATTTTGACAGTACCAAATTGCTAGCTGACAGGTAACAGCTGGCTTTGAAATCACTGCATGTCATGAGCATGAGCCTGTTGGTAGTTGGTGACTCGCCATCTACTGAAATTTTACATGGCTTTTTAGTTCTTGCCTGTCCCAACTTGTGGTGTTCTTTTAACAGACAACCCGGTTCCTGAGCTTTCAGGTGAGGCGTGTTTACTTGGAATGGACAAGAAAACAAGGAACAAACCCAACACATAAGAGTTACAGAAAAGCATACATTTCCAAAGTCAGAACTGTGCAATAAATCCCGACAGGTGGGACAGAATTAGCACACACGCGCATTGCTTAAAGAACCACCCGTGCATTTTTCCTTTGGCCCAACCAACACACGCACTACTGTGCTGCCAGACCGCACTGCTTCTGTTTACCACGGCCGGACAAGGCTAGGTCTGTTCCTTGCACTCGCTGGTCTGATGCCCTTTGCCTCACTTCAATCCAGCTTTCACCTCACCGCAGCTCCTACAGACGGAGATTTGTGAGACACAAGAATCCCTTGTCGCCCACACCGACTTTCGGGTGAGAGCGGGGGCAGGAAGCAGCATCCGCCCGCACGGCAGCGGTTCCGCTTCCCGACTGGGAAGAGGTTTGTCAAACCCCTGGTGCCCTCCGCCTCTCTAGTGCCGGTGGAGCCGGACAGAGTTCGAAATGCGTTTGGACAACGCTGTCCGGCACATGGCGTGATTCTTGGGGATATGCTGTGCAGGGCCAGGAGTTGGACTCGATGATCCTTGTGGGTCCCTCCCAACTCAGAATATTCTGTGCTTCCGTGACGAGGGTGCTGCCGCCCCACAGGAGAGCTGTGCCGCGCTGTGCCTGCCCTCTGGCCGCTGGCACGGCTTCCCTGCAGCAAGCGCCATCCCACTGAGCGCGGCGCCGCCTCCCCGCCCGGGGGCTGAGGGCCCGGCCCGGCCGCGGCGCGGTGACGCGAGCGCGGGAGCGCCGCCCAGCCGAGGGCGGGCGGAGGCTGCGGGCAGAGCGCGGGTCGGCGCGGAGCTGCCGCCGCGTTCCCCGCCGGCGCCGCCGTGC